GTCACTGGTCCTCACATTCAAATTTGATTCGCTCAAAGACCCTTCTTTCTTTGAACGACTGAAGCAGAGCCGGCCGCCAGACCTTGGAGAATCTTCCTCATACCCAACCGAAGCCTCACCTGCTGCAAAATTGGCCCAAACTCCATCACAATCTACGCATGAAGACGATTCTCTAATATCAGTGGAAGCAGCAACTGGGCAGTCTAAAAAGAAACGGGGCAAGCGTGGCGGAAATCAAGTTTACCGGTGTGATAAGTGCGGCAACACCTGGAAGAACTCAAACGGTTTGGAATATCATATTTCCAAATCCCGTTCGGCTTGCAATCCTGATTATGTACCCCCCCCTCCTCCTCCTCCCAAGCCCCCCAAGGTTCCTAAGCATCCTCCAAAGCCAAAGTCTATACTTAAGACTAGGTCGTTGAAGATATCCGAAAATAATAACCGAGACCAAACGCCAGGCCCAGGATCACCCTCAGACTTAGATCGTACTCCGTCACGATCGAAGCTTGACCCTGTGAACCGCCGTCCCCTCCTACCTTCCAAGCGCGTTCGTCCCAGCGATACCCACATACCCAACCAAGATACAGAGGTTTCATCAAGGCCTAATTCTATTAGAGGCTCTATCGTCTTGCAAAATGTTGAAGCTTATGATGTCATTGATCGTCGAAGGAGAGAGAAAAGCCAAATCATCTCACCTAGCTTTTACAGTACCAATTCTTCAATGCGTCAAGCAACTCAAATATTACAGCAGACGAAATATAGCGCTTCACCTCGAGGTCACGGCCTAGACGTAGTTTCCGGTACGAAATTAGGAAAGGGGAGAGACAAGACCACTATAGTAGAGATGCATCAGACGACCCCTATTCGAAATCGGGATGCTGGGCCTAGAGAGATGCCTGAAAATCAACAAGGATTCTACTCACTCAATTCAAACAATACGGGTGAGATGAATGGTTCTTTAGCAATGTCTGATTTCAATTTGCGGCCATCATCGCTGAAGCCTACAATGCCTACCACCACCAATTATCCTATCACAAATTCCACTGGAAATCGACAGGTCTCCAAAGCAATTAACCATGAATTGAGCAAGGGAACTGTGCAGCCAAATCAGGAGTCAACTCCTAAAAGAGCTCGCAGGTCTACGCCTACTATCGGCACCATTCGTAGGGAACGTACTACTACTATCATCCATCATCTACTTGACAAAAATGACGGTGTATTTCCTGGCCAGCGGTCCTTATACTTGGCGATGGTTTCATTGTGGGTTAAAACGCATCCTGACATAGAACCCCCTGATTGGAAGGTTTGTCAGAATGTGGTGAACAGAATGGAGAAGGCCGGGGGCCTACTACAGGTTCACTTTTGTTTCCTTGATGATAACAACAAGCTTCAGGAATGTTGCGTGCTTGTGAAAAATAAGTTGGGGGGTACCGGTACCGCAAATCTAGCTACTGATCCCAAGGTGGTTATCGTCAAGGAAAAGATGAGGGAGATGTACCCAGAGCCGTACATCCCAGAAGCATTTTCACTGCCACAGGAAGAGAGCGAACTCTTTGACGCACTTTCATCAAGATATAGGGATACTCCGCGATCTAGCGAGGCTCAAAAGCAAGCTCAAAAGCCGAATGCGACCGAGGATATCGAAGTTCTACAGTACCCTGCTCATGTCATGGGGGATATCCCTAGCTATGCAACTGGCTCAAAACGACCTGCGGAAGAAGAGAGCCTGGCGGATGTGTCTCCTACCAAGAAGATCCGCGCTAATTCTCGTGACATTGAGAAACTTCGGAGTACCCCCAAGTCCCGGAAACGAGGCGAACCTCGCGAGTATTGGGATGCTGGGAAGGTTGCAAAGTATATTTGGAGTCAAAAGCAGAACTCAAGCGAGAAATGGAACCAGACAACTGCTTGCCTTCAAGACTTTTCAACCGGGGCGTGGTCGGTCCCACCCCAAGAACCTAGCTCGTTCCAGCCAAGTATCGATACGATCTTATCTTCACTTCATACTTCTCGTGAAAATGTATTGGCTTCTACACAGCGACGCCCTAGCAGGAAGCCGGGAAGTTCGAATGAAGCTTTGAAGGAGAACAACCACTCGAAGGCATCCAAATCGGCTCCTAGGACTCGTAAGTCTCGAGGTAGCGATGATGAAGAATCTTATAACAGAGTCAGAAGAATGATGGTGGATCGATTCGTTAAACCCTCGGTTTCTACATCGTTCGTGCCCGATTCAGGATCCGAGGAAGAGGACGACGATATAGTTATGGTCGACGCGCGGTATAGCACACCTGCGGACGAAGATTCAAATGCCCTCTCTGATTCACCTAGCACAAGATTCGCGAAGATGATAACAATTCAAAGCACACGCAAAGGCTGCTGGCCTCTGTTATCAGTCAATTCTTTTGAAGTGAACTCAAGTTTTACTTTGACTGGGGCTATGCCTGACGCCAAATGGTTTCAACGAGAGAATCTGCCGCAGTGTGCCTGGGACATCATCAGAACTTTCAAAGGCAAGTTCCAATTCAACTCTTGGGCAGATCCTACGTATGGAAAGTTCTTACGAGAAGTCGATTCCATTGAAAAATGGGAACAGTCACCCGAAGGATCTCAAATCCTCTTACATGGATCAATCGCGCCCGATTACATATTCATTTCTCTCTCGCCCGATATTTCAAGAGCGAATATGGCCCCTATCGTACTGGAATGGCCGACTAGAAATCAATATACCGCAAAGAATATACCGGATGAGATCAAGAATGCGTCACCTGACGATGACAACGCTGGTTTGCCAAGCATCGTGCACCGTGGCAGAGGCAGGCCAAGAACGGACGCGAACACCAAGGCGCAGTCTAAGGAGAAGTCCAAGGCAAAGGCGACAAAGAAAACCCAACCAACACCAGTACCTAAGGTGGAAATACAATATAAGACACGTTCACTTCACCCAATACCGATGCAACATCGGGGCCGTGTAAACAGACCGAACCTGAACGAGGACGAGCTTGGCCTTAGTGGTGAGACGGAACTCATAGCTGCCTTTGTAGTCTTCAAAACCCTTTTGGGGGGTGTAGACAAGAAGGTAGATCTCGGCCTGATCCTGAAGACTTTTCCTACATTCTCCCACTCGGCTTTGAAAAAGTTCTGGCCTAAGGTTCGTAAGGAACGCAAAACATATATCGACGCTTTGACGAAGAAGTTTCAATCAGCATTCTTAGAGGCTTACGAGAAGGGAGATATTGAGCCTCTTAATTACGACGACCTTGAGTCGTATGACTGGAAATCTTTGATCCTTTGGGCAACTAAGCTTGAGACTCATGAGAACGTGGACCTCCCCGAATCCCGCCAAGACCTCGAAAAAGCATATTCACTTGAAGATCAGATCAACGAGGCTCCTGATTGGAGGGAGACGTGGTTCCACGGCATGGCATCCACCTTGTCTCGGGTTGAAGCAACATCTAGAGAGCCTATCTCGCTTCCTCTCAGTCGCAGCGCCACGGCCGAAGAAGAACTGATAAGCCGCGCCAGGTCGTGGGTCCGCTCTTTGTGTGTTACCCCAATAAAGGGTGCCAATATGCCCGAGGAAATCCGTTTGAAGTTCTTGAGATTGTGTGGTAGAAATGAGGCTGAAACGAACAAGCTCCTTAAGAAGGTAGTCGATCGGCTTACGTCAGAAAGGGTAGCGGCAAGAAGCAGAGGCAAGATACTTGGCCAGGCTTTAAGGTTACACGGTGTGTTCGCGAAGCACCTCAAGAAAGCTGCTACTGTTGAGAAATTCGTGCAGGCTGCCAACTTCAAAGCCCTGCTAGATCAGACTTTCCGTAAAGGCGAAGAGTTTGTTCTGCCATATCTTACGGAGGACGGCGCAATTATGGCGGTCATTAACCTCCAGGCTCAAGGTCGCATCCGCGTAGATGCCATCGACATCCCAAATATCCCTTTCGGTTTCGAGCCTGGTAACTACGATGGTAGGACGTTCCCGAAATCCTATTACCACTTTAGTCTGAAATTGTTGCCCACGGAGTCATATGTGTTTGATGAAGACCTACCGCTCCTCAAGGAAGCGCTGCGCATGGAGGCACCCCGGCAAGGACCTCGAGACGAGATACCGATCTGGGTTGATTTTTTCGGAAATCTCGATAAACAACGCTGGATCACATATCTGAGCATGATGATGTTAGGGCTCGCAACCAAGGGCCCCTTGACCCCGCGCACCGCAAGCGTGCTTATGAAGCCGTTTGTCGAACCGTTCGAGGCCAAGTTGATCATGGACTGGGTCGATAGTCTAGGCGTTTTGCAACGCCTGGAGTCGCAACAGAGCGCGACGGTGGGTGAGTGGTGGTGGCTAGTAGTAGGGAAACTAGCGGTGGATCAACGAGGACAAAATAATCCTCAAAGTCGGGGTCAGAGCACAGCCGAACAGGCATGATTTGTATCAGTAGTAATTCATTGCATGGAGTGGTGTGGTATGATGGGGCATATAGCATGACTTGGCGTTTGGCAGGACCAGAGATATCCCATACATGTAGCTGCGAAGCATTGCTGAGCCTCGTTTTTTCCGGGGCCTCTGTAGCATTGAGAAATAATCGACGACTTTCATGATGTTTTTTTTTATTTTATTTGGGAGACTTGCTTTTTAGATCTTGCTTCACTAAAAACAACTCCGTATAATCAGGTAGTAATCGTAGGAGCGAGCTCTATGGCCGTGTTAGATATAATCTATCCATTTCACCTCAACGGCATTTTCATTACAGATGCCATACATATAATGCACTGTATCACATTATTACTATAACGTACTTCATACACCTCCCTATTCTCCAAGTTGCTCAGTCTATACGATAGCCTCATCCGTAGCGGGTCAGCCCCATCGCGACGATTCTAGGGCCGAAGACCTAACAGTTGCACCAGCAACAAACAGAGGGGATAACAGGTACCTACATAATGCTTGGTATCACTACAAATTCTTATCTGAATAAGTAAGGTTAAAAAAAGAAGAAAAAAAGGGTGCTATCGTCTAGTGGTAGGACAGTACGTTGTGGTTTGCGAGCTCTATGCTTCAGACGATATCCGTACAAACGGCGGTTCGATCCCGTCTAGCGCCAATTGTCTTTTTGTGTTTTCTTTTTATCTTCATCGACTTGGAAGAATGTGAGAGACCTTTTATGTCGAGGTAAGAAGGTTTACTCGTTTTTACTGGATAATATTAAGATGAAGTCAACTTCCTCGCATAATAATGGTATTCAAACGATGGCGCCATTAGTCGATCCCAAGCCGACTGGTTTCATCATCGCGACATATGTATGACGCACGCTGGAAAGGCAATATGCGCGTCGATATTGCTACGGCATTTCAACACTTAAATAGTAAGATGCCACCTACCCCAGGCAGCTAGCGGAGATCAGACTCGCAAACAAAGCCGAGATATCTGATTAGTCGTAGACGGATCGAGGACTTCATGAAATCGAGTCTAATTCAATTCTTGGTATCGGTACCCGTGTAAAGTAACATGATAACGCCTTTACCCTGCCTGCCTATAACGCCTGTTTCCAATGATTTATGCTGCTGGCTCTCAAAGCCACACTCAATGCCCTATCAGAATCTTCAGAAGCATGGCAATCAACATAATCACCAATGACACGATGGCGTAGTCGACCCACGCCGGCACTCCCGCATTCGGGTCCACGGGTCGTTGAGATGGCGTTGACGTAACCTGGCCTACCGGACCCGACAACGGTATTGTTCTTGTCGGCGCCGGGACGCCCTGCGCAGGTCTTGCAGGCGGTAGTGTTGTTGAATCCGTCGTATGCGACACGCTATCCCTCTCCGGCACCGTCTGCACAAAGCCCTCCGCCAGCTCCGCGCTCTCTGCATCCTCCACCGCACCCTCACTAGCAGCAGCAGCAACACCACCACCACCACTCTCACCACTCTTCCCCGCCTTCTCCATCTCATCCCGGAACCCCATCTTCAACTCAGCCGGGACCTGGACCTCCTCCCTTCTTCCCTGATTCTGCTTATCATGTTCCCTGCACCGCTCCTCACACTCCGCGATGATCTCCCCATTCGTCTTCGCGCACACCCCGCACTTCCACCCTCTACTCTCAGCGGCCAACTTCCTCCTCACGGCATCGCTCGTATCTAGGCCGCCGAGCTGGCCGCGCGCGTCCGTCTCCATGAAGGAGCGCAGCGCGACCAGCGCGGTGCGCACCCCCCACGCCGGCTGCCACGTCTCCTCGTGGTGGCCCGAGATGCTGAGGCAGATCTCGCGGTTGGCCTCGAAGCGGCCCGAGGGCGTGGTAAAGCGGAAGGATGGAGGGCGGAGAGGATATGTAGGCGGGAGCACGATGCGCCCGTGGTAGATGCCGTCGGCGAAGGCGGAGTTGGGGGGCCCGCGGAGGGTGAAGTGCCATTCGAAGAGGTCGGATTCGAGGGGCGAGGCTGTGTAGTCTGGACTTGGGGATGTGGAGAGCTCGGCGGCTTCTTTTACTGTTGAAGGAGTTGGTTAGTATGAGGTTGGGAAGGGTCGGAGATGGGTGGGTGTAGAGAGACAGCGTACGTATGCGCCGGATCGTGGGCGATTTGGAGTTGAATTTTGTGGTGGCCATGGTGGCTGGCTGATGGCGTTCACGATGTCTCTGGTAGTGGGGGTGGTTATCGTCGGGTGTAGGTCATTGCGAGATGAAGGGTAGAAATGATAATAGAGTAAATATTATTTAATGAGAAGGACTCTGATATAAAGGAATCTACCCAGTGTAGGCAGTTCGGTTTGTGTAATGGGATTAATGCGATTCTTTAATCTTTAGGTAGAGAAAGCCAGGCTGTCTTGATGGATTTCGGGGGATTGGGATTCATGAATTGATGCAACGATGATAGACGCCTCGATAAGACGCCACACTACGTAAGCAATTGCGAAATCAACAAGGCATGAAAGGCACGTGATGTATGTGGCTTTGGATCACGTAACTGTGGGTACGAAGCTGACTAACGTCGTCCCCTGCCAGACTGAACTCGAGCCGAGAATCAGCACTCTACGGTATGGCAAACCATCGAATATGCATGTGCGAACAAACGCGGACCAAATAATACACCTACATTTGTTCTCATGAGATCTGCCCAAGGGACTGCATATCCTTTTCACAGTATACTCAAAATCCTTAGCCTAAGTGTAATGTTTGTTAATCTCGGATATTGAACATTGCTTTGACTTCCAAGGGACGTCTTTGCCATTCATTATGTATAATTCGGCATTTATACCTATTCGTCAATGTTGGTTAGATAGCAGGTAGCTACCCGCCATTGAGTTTGCATTACCCCTGCCTTTTCTATCCACTCTCAACACGTACTCGTAGGCAGGCACCAGAAGTATGTAAATTACTCCCGTTCCTACTCACTTTACCTGGATATGTCTCATGCTGATAATAGGGTAGCTACAATGCATAGCGGGGCTGTTACTGCCCCTTCTGGCATTGATAGCAAGTCAAAAGGCTCTCCCCTATACATACATGTATCTTATCCTCCTACCCACATGCAGGTAATGACTTTATAGGATAGCATATCTGCCTATGTATGTGCCGTCTCATGTTCACTTATGCACAACGAGCCCAATAGGTATAGTCTAATTCTTAAGGTTAGCAACTTCTAGTTCTAAAAGAATAGGTAGGTACGATAAAGAATGTTTGCTATTTGCCTTCATCAGACGAATAACGACTCAAGTCTCCTCTACCTTCCTTCTATTTCCCGTCCTTTCTCCTCATTCAAACTTCCTCCCCACTATCTGGGATAATCTGCCCATGGAATCTTGCTCCTATAGTCATCTTCCAAGAAACATATCACTTCCGCGGGAGTAGTCGTCTCTATTTCCTTATCTTACTGCCCTTGATACCGGGTACTTGATATCTCTCTGATCACTATCGTCCTTGTTCCTATTCTACACCTCCTACACCTTCTTTCCGGTGTTGCCTGACAGCAAAATTCTCCCGCAGTGAAGTTTGTGTCTCTGGGCTTTCTCAAGAATCCATACCCTGGGGATTATTCCTTCCGCGCCCCCTTCGTACGTCTTCTGTTAGGTCAACTCTCTTCCTGCTAGTGTTTCGGCCTTGTTCCTTGCCTTCGGTGTATCGTGAGCTACAAGTTCCGGTACTAAGGAGCAACAATGTCTCGATCAATGGCATCTCGATCAGTGACATCTCGATCCACAGCTTCTTACACTCCTCCCTTGCCGCGATGTCCCAAGTGCAGAGTCGCCTTCCAGAGCAAGAAAGCTCTATTCAAACATCAACAAGATGCGGGCCATTTAACTTGCGATGCCTGTGACCAGTCTTTTCACACACTTGAAGGTCTAATGTCTCATCGACAAGAGGTAACACTGCTTCCCCCCAATTCCCTTTTCTGAAAACATAACTCACCTTGAAATCATGTAGGATCATAGAGCACTACAAGATCTTCTCTGTCCCGGATGTGACAAGAACTTTGTGAGCGCCGGAGGATGGATTCAGCATGTCGAGATTGGCGAGTGCACTTCGATCTTCCCCTCAGATATAGCAGAAGGAATTCCTAAGATCATGAGGACTATTACCGAGAATTTGCGTGGCGTTAAGATATCGGGTGAGGGAACGGTTGACTACTCTGGCCCGTCTCATATCAAGGATGTTTGGGGTGATGAGTGGAAAGATGAGGAAACTTACGATGTGGAGCGACACCCGGAGGCGTTCCCAAGAACCGTGAAGCAGGAGTTCTATCGTGGGGGCCCAAAACAGCAAGACCTATTGACAGGCGAAAATGCCGAGAGTCTCGAACAGCGCCCACAAAACGCTTGGGCTCAGAAGAAGAATCTATTTCCGGAGAAGGAGAACACAAAACCCATACGGCCTCCTCCACGTCTACTAGAACAGATGCGACAGCCTGCCACCCCGAGCCGACCCACGGGAGAACGCATCCTTGATCCCAACCACCCAGAATTCAACGTCTCTCTCTTCAAGGATTCTATCTTGGAGGCTTACAAGTGTCCCCACAAGGCTTGCAAGTGAGTGTTCGAATCCTATATGATCATTATCAAGATAGAACATCTAACACCCTCATAGTTCGAAATACAAGACTTCGAATGGATTGATCGGGCATCTGAAGTCACCAGCGCATTCTGGTAATCAATTCCCATGCCCGGGATGCAGAGGCATATTCACAACCGCCGCTTCATGGGTGCAACATGTTGAAACCGTCAGCTTGACAAAGTGCCGCCTCCGAGAGAAAGAAGACGTCTACGGACTCGCCTTGAACGCCATCACCGATGGTGCCCTGGATATTGATACTCTCAACAAGCTTGCCGACGATACGGTGAAGCTGAAGGTCAACGAAAACTGGGCCAGTACAAAACGACCATCTAAGCTTGCGGGGGTGGTGGGTTCAGAAGAGTGGCTGAAAGCCAAGCAGGATGAACTAGAAAGACCTTTGCCTGGTCCGAGCAAGGTCGAGAAGCCTTGGTAGAGGAGTGGAAACCACTCATACATAGTATTCGGAGCCGTGTTTTGTTGACATGAGCGAAGCTTTATTTTCCCGCTAGAGAAGTGTGGAAAGGGAAAAGGAAAAAAAAGAGAGAGAGAGAGAGAGAGAGAGAG